CCCTCCCCGTTCGGTCTGAGCCCCTCACTATCTCACACCGTAGATGGGACCACCGCAAGATGAAACGAGATGGGTAGTGTCCAACTCGGCCCATCGTAATAGCCTCAGGGCTTTGTGGGTTCAAATCTCACCCCGGCAGCTGGCAGGATTGAAAGGACCCTTTTTTAAAAATAAATAAAATCCCTCTTAAAATGGCCCCAGCCAGCCACTCACCTCAATGGGCAATTAGGGACGTTCCGGGGTCCGAACTGCCCTCTGAAAATGGCCTCAGTGAGCCACCCAGCTCAGGGGTCAGTTAGGGGCATTGCAAATTCCGGGCTGCCTTCTGAAATTTGGCCCTAAGGAACTATTCATCTCAAGGGGCAATTAGGGACATTGCAGACTCTAAACTACCCCCTGAAAATAGTCCTAGTGGGCTGTCCAACTCAAGGGGCAATTAGGGACATTGCAGACTCTAAACTACCCCCTGAAAATGGTCCTAGTGGGCTGTCCAACTCAAGGGGCAATTAGGGACATTACGGGTTCTGAACAGCCACCTGAAAATGGCCCTAACAAGCTGCTCGGCTAAAGGGGCAATTAGGGAACTTATGGACTCTTAACCGTCCCCTAAAATTGGCCCTTGGGAACCATTCAGCTCCAGGGGCAATTAGGGACTTTGCCGGCTCTGAGTTGTCCCCTGAAAATGGCCCTAGGGAGCCATTCATCTCATGAGGCAATTAGAAGACAGCAATAAACACTGACAGAGCCGCCCCCCACCCACCCACCCCACTCCCTTTGAGGGTACGTGACAACGAAACTGAGCATTTGCGTAGCGCCTTCTGACCCAGCCGAGAAAGGTGCTTTCGCCCGAGCTCCGAATCGGGCAAGACTTGACCCCAAGCCCCCCCCCAACCCACCACCAACACCCCCACCGAGGGAGGAGGTATCCGGAATGTGGTCGGGGGGTGTTGGGGGAGTCAGAGAGGCTTAGGGAGAGAATTGCAGAGTCCAAGGTCACCTCATTCAGACAGCGTCCAAAGGCCGAATGACGGGAACCCGCGGTGTTTGCGTGGAATTAGAGGTTTCGGGGGGCTGTGTGGGGGTGTGCGGAGATAAACAGGGGGAGGGTGGCAACAGACTGACCCCGTTCGAAGCTCCTTTCGGAAGCAAACAGAGGCTGCAGACATTTGAGATATAAACAGCGCCAGCGCTCAGTTCTTTCGGAAGGACGGTCCCCCAAGCAGTTCTCAATAGCTTGACATTCAGCGTGGCTGATAATATGGAAGGGACAGCTTGACTTCAGCCAGTGCCAATCTCCTTTACTTGCCTGGGAATGGCATTCAGTGTTAGAATTTGGACCAATTCATCGCGAGTTAACAGGAAACAGCCTGGGACGCAGTGGTAGTGTCCCTGCCTCTGGCTTCTGGTAGACCTGGGTTCAACTCTCACCTGCTTCCAGAGAGGGGTTTGTGTGTGTGAACATCCTGGACACAGGTCAGGTGCGAGACCCATAACCTCACCATTAAAAGGGACTCAACTGCAGAGTCAGGAAAAATGCAACTTTGGGAAAAGTTTGGCTGCAACAACAATTGCATTTATGAAGGGCCTACAAGATTTCTAGGGTGCGTCACGGGACAGGTAAACGAGGCGCAGGAGGTGATAGAGAGTGTGAGGGGGCGAAAGGGGGCTGCAGGAGATGACGAACATAGTTAGGGTGTCGAGGAAACTTTATTCTGTATCTGATCCCGTGCTGTCCCTGTCCCGGGAGTCTTTTAGGGAGAGGGTGTAGGGAGCTAGGGAAGGGATGTAGGGGGCTGGAGAGGGGACAGTGATAGGGAGGGGGTGTAGGGGGCTGGAAGAGGTAACAGAGATAGGGAAGGGGTGTAGGGGGCTGGAGAGGGGACAGTGATAGGGAGGGGGTGTAGGAGCTGGAGGAGGTGACAGAGATAGGGAGGGGGTGTACGGGGCTGGAGGGGGTGACAGAGTTAGGGAGGGGGTATAGGGGGCTGGAGGAGGTGACAGAGATAGGGAGGGGGTATAGGGGGCTGGAGGAGATGACAGAGATAGGAAGGGGGTGAAGGGTGCTGAAGGAGGTGACAGAGATAGGGAGGGGGTGTAGGGGGATGGTAGGTGGTGACAGAGATAGAAAGGGGGTGAAGGGTGCTGGAGGAGGTGACAGAGATAGGGAGGGGCTATTGGAGCTGGAGGAGGTGACAGAGATAGGGAAAGGGCTGTAGGGGGCTGGTAGGTGGTGACGGAGATAGGGAGGGGCTGTAGGGGGCTGGTAGGTGGTGACGGAGATAGGGAGGGGCTGTAGGGGGGGCTGGTAGGTGGTGACAGAGATAGGGAGGGGCTGTAGGGGGCTGGTAGGTGGTGACGGAGATAGGGAGGGGGTGTAGGGGGCTGGAGGAGGTGACAGAGATGGAGAGGGGGTGCAGGCATGGTAGAGACTGGTGGGCACTGCAAGGGCTGGAGTGCATCATCACCTCAGACAACATTACTTTAATGCAGTCAGTTTCTGTTGCATTCTATAAGGCTCCACTGTTAGTGTGCGTTTTATTTCAAAACAGTAACCCCAGCACAGGGCCATTTTATTCTTATTTCTGTCTTCCAGTTTAAAAAGAATGGAAGAAACTTTCCTCTATGTCTCACCCCATGCTGTCCCTGTCCTGGGAGCGTTTGATGAGAGACACAGTGTAGAGGCAGCTTTACTCTGTATCTAACCCTGTGCTGTCCCTGTCCTGGGAGCGTTTGATGGGAGAGACAGTGCAGAGGCAGCTTCACTCTGTATCTAACCCCATGCTGTCCCTGTCCTGGGGGTTTTTGCCGGGGTTCAGTGTAGAGAGACCTTTACTCTGTCTAGCATAGGAACCTGAACTGATATTTGTTCTCTTACGAAGGTAGATGGCTGAGTTACTGGAGAATATCAGTGAAGCAGACTCCTTCTCCAACATGTCCCTGCGGATTCTAACCCTCACGTCATCCTACGACTAACTGGATTTCTGAGATAGTTTAACGATGAAGAATCTGGCAACACTCCAGAGGCTCTAGTCCAGACAGCTCATGTTCAAAACAACACAACCTGCTCAGACACGCTCCTCACACACCTTCATTCCTCTCACACTGAACACCAACAGGACGAGGCTATTCAGCCCTGCTTGAGTTCAATACACAGGAACTGAAGGAGGCCATTCAGCCCCTTTCTCAAGACTATTACAGAGGTATATGAGGAGGCCTTTCAGCCCTCCTGGAGTTAAATACGCAGGAACAGGCCAAGGCCATTCAGCCCCACTTGAGTTGAATACACAGGAACAGGAGGAGACCATTCAGCCCCTTTCTCAAGACTATTACACAAGTATATGAGGAGGCCATTCAGCCCTGCTTGGGTTAAATACACAGGAACAGGAGGAGGCCATTCAGCCCCACCTCAGTTGAATATGCAGGAACAGGAGGCACCCATTCAGCACACCGTCCGCAAGCCTGTTACACAGGTATAGGAGAGGAGGCCATTCAGCCCCTTCAAGCCTGTTAATCCCCATCTTTAACTCCAGCTACCCGCAATTCCCAGCTCTCCGAGCCACTCACTCTCCCGGCTTGGTAATATATCGGCCGTTCCTTCAGTGTCGCCCATTCTAAATCCTGGAGCACCAACCACTCCACCTTCCCCCAACTGATGGCACTGTCCCTACACCAGCCGGGGACTGGGGGGGGGGGGTGCAATTAGGGATGAGGGACAAATGCCAACGATGACAATCCAAAAGTTCCGACCTTCGCCCGCCAGAAGTTGCCACTTGCTCAGCGAATTGGAGGCTGGAATGGACCCCCGACTGGCAGCCTGGGCTGGTCCAATCAGGTAAGGAAGTGCCCCGTCCTCGTGCCCTGTTGGTCACGTGGAATGGTCATGTGACAACCCCGCCAGGGCTCAAAGCCGGCCATGTTGGCACCCGCTCCCAGGCCCCTCCACTTCCTGCGCG